GCCGTCATGTCTTCCGTCACTCACCAGCAAGTCGCTATTGGTCTGGCTCTGCACGGTCTCTTCGGTTCCATCGGCGCCGCCATTGGCCTCGCCATCGCGGGTGGTATCTGGAACAACGTCCTCGAGAACAACATCTACAAGAACCTGCCTGCCGACAGCAAGGACCTCACGGCCAAGATCTTCGGCGATCTTACTACTCAGTTGTCGTACCCCATGGGCAGCCCTATCCGCGAGGCTATCATCGCCGCGTACGCCGACGTGCAGAGGAAGATGGTCATTGCTGGTTGTGCGTTCATCCCTCTCATCTTTGTGTCCTTGGTCATTTGGCGTAACATCGATGTCAAGACTGTGGAGGAGAAGAAGGGCAAGCAGACCAAGGGAACCGTGTGGTAAGAACTACACGTAGTGATGATGGGCACTTGTAGCGAACAAAAAGCTTCAAGAGATGTTCAATTCGTCTCTACTATTACATCGCATACTCTGAATAAATCTAGACTACTGTACCCAAACCGCTATCTATACAACCGCATGTGCAAGTTTGCTCGGGTGTAGACTAGTTCCGAAGTGGCCTGGGAGAGCACTCTACTGCTCTAGGACAGAGCCAATTTCTACTTGGGGCAGAGGCGTCCATTCTGCGTCGGGTAGTACTCAATCTGGTCTGCGATGTACCAGTCCTCCGCGCCAACCGCAGTAGCAGCATAAAAGACGCCCCAAGGGTCATACTTCTGCTTAAGTTGATATAAGTAGTCGTAGTTGCTGCCATAATACGCTTGCTGTAAGTCTGGCTCATTGATATCCGCCTCATTCAGGTATGTTCCCGAACCAGGACTAGCATCTCGCCATGGTTGCAGCTGTTCAACCAGCTTCTTGCTTGCGGCAGCAATCTCGTCAGGCGTAGCTTCCAGATCCCAGGCAGCCCCCAGCATGACGAAGGCAAGAGTGTCTCGGAAGGCAGGGTTGACAGCATTGGTCTGGTTGAGGGAAGGGTTCGCACCCGTCTTGATGTTATAACCCATAACGCGACCACCGTCCTCGGCGGTTTGTCGAAGTGCCTTCGTCTGGGCTGCCAGCTTCACCGGGTCCTCCCAGTTGGATCGCGGAAAGATACGAGACGCGGTATGGAAGTTCCATACGCCGACGAACTCCCCATCGACAGTCCACGTGCTCAGGACTGCATCGCGCACGCCATTAAACTCGGTGTAGTTGATGTCCGAGACGGGAATATGAAGCGATGAAAGGTTACCAAACAGCGGAGCGGAGACGGACTTCAGCTTGTCAGCGCTCATGTCGATGCCGAGCTGAGGCAACATGGAGAAGGTGCAGTCCGTCTCTTTGGTGCAAACAAGAGACCAGTAGCTGAACATGCCGGCATCAGCATACTCCGGGAACACTGCGAAGACGGCATCGACACCGGACCAAAAGGTCTCCGTGGATACGTTGCCGCCGGTGTTGAAGCTATAGGTCAGGGAGGTGATGGGTGTCTTTGGATAGGCACGGATGACGAGGGACGTAACGATGCCCCAAGTGCTGCCTCCGCCGCCACGGAGAGCGAAGAAGAGGTCCGGGTAGTTGTTCTCATCGACAGATACGAAACGACCATTGGGGAGCACAACCTCCATCGATAGGACCTGATCGGCTCCAGCGCCGTACGAGGATATCAAGGGGCCATTACCTCCACCTGCTACATAGCCACCGCCAACTCCAATGGTCTTCTCGGCCGGTCAGTATGCGAATGTCTTCAAGTATATGCTATTGCCGATGAACGGGGAAAGGAAGCTTACGCGAGCGATACCACCAACTACCTGCAAGCCCTCCTTATCCGCAGCATCGTAGTAGTCGAGCATGGTGACTCCGGAGCCAATCTTGAAGGCCGGACCTTGGTAGCCGGAAGCGCCGTGTTTGAAGCTTGCACCGAGGTACTGGATTCCTTGAAGATGATGAGTCCAGACAGATAGAGCGCCGGCGCCAGCCGACTTGCCGCTGAAGTCATGACCCTTGTTCTTGACAATCAGTCTTAGATTGAGGTTGCGCGCGAAGTTTACCGCGAGCTGGATTTGAGCAACGTTGGTCGCATTCAGGACATAAGTCGGATGTCCGCCTTGGGTGCAAGTGGCGTTTGACCGCGTCAAACTCGGGGGGAGACAGCTCACGCCCTCGTACAGAGGAAAGTCCAGGCCAGTAGGCTCAGACGCCCTAGCATCTTCAGCGAAAGGTTTTGATACGGTGGGGTAACGAGTAACTTACTGGTACGAGGGACTTGCCCATTTCGCCGTGATTTCGGCACATTTGGCCTCGTCGTATTGCGGCCAGTCCTTGTAACATACAGCCGCCGATGGGGTACCGTCCACGAGCGCCGATCCCGTCAATAGATCGAATAGAGACCATGTGGTTGATGAAGGCCAGGCGCTGTCCCCTGGGAAGACCTTACATGAGCGGGCAGCTCTCTTGCCGGTCATATCGCCCTCGTTCCCGAAGTCAAATACGCTCGCATCGCCGATGCCGTAGCTGGTCAAGTTGGCGAGGACACCGTCGGTGAGCTGCGACGTCTCGAAGTCGAGATAGTCAATGTCTGAAGCTGCAGCATTTGCCGCGATCACCTCGGCTGCGGGGGCAATTGTGTCGTTGAAGATGGCTACGAGGTATGAGCAGGTGCTGACTTTATGGTTCTGGAGCTTCCGAATGTTCGAGCGCATGGAATTCATGAGGAGAAAAGGCACACGTACCATCACTGTTTGCAGATTGAGCCGCAGCTAGACATATGACCGACAAAGCGGCGAAGATGCCAGTCGTTGACATTACTGCGGAGGAGTCAAATGGTACAGATGACAACCATGGACTACGGAGGGTGACGGCGGATGAAGTGTTACAGCAGGAAAAGGATGGCCGAGGGAGCAAAGAAAACATCCAGACCGTCTAAACTCATGATCTTTATGAGCGATTTCCCCCTTGTAATGTGGTATGCAGAAACGGTGGCGACCTGGGATGATTCTCAATTCGATCTCCACCGACTGTTCATGGCCGGAGACTCTCTCCGGAAACAGAATCGGGGCCCCGCTCCACTCCGAGGACCTGCCGGCGGATCGGCTAACTGTTGCGGCCCGGGACAATTAAGCCGTCGACTGGCCGGCCTTCTGGTCCGGACGCCACTTGGACACTTTGGCCCCCGAGTCTGTATTCTTGATAACAGCAGGTTTGTTGGTTTTCCTTCAAAAATGCCGTCTTCTTTCGGCTCATGATTATGTGGAAGACGAAAGGGACTTTGCAGGCGTGCGCTGGCCGGAGATTGCTTTCCTGTACTGCGCCGCCGGCGTGCATGCTCGGCAGCGATGTTTCTGCAGGAATCCTCCACTAAACTGGTCTTGCTGACACTCTGCAGCATCGATGCCTCTTCCAATCCCGGTCGAAGAAGATCTAGGCAAGCAGCGACGAATAGCGGACCAGATGAGCGGTGGGGCCGGTCGCTCGAGTTTCCTCTTGCGGCGCGGGCCGAGGAGGAATCGGATGAGGTCGATTTTGCCGCCACTGATGAGGGGATTGAACCACGCGGGAAATCTTGGGTCAGTATTGCGTTGGAGAACAGAGTCGATTCTATTCCGCGATCGAAACTGAGCGGTCTGGGCTGGAAGGATGAAGCGATTTTGACGAAATGGACGCGACAACCGCGTTGCTCAATTGGCACCTCTGGAAGAATCCCCACGACTTGTCTATGTTTTTCTGTTAGACAGGGCGCCGTCGGGGTCTATATACTTGACTCCTTGGTCTGATAACAATACTCAATGAATGCATACGATGATGTTGACGTCCATAGAGAATGTGGTGTTGTCGGAGACGAGGCTGGTCCGTAATTGACTCTCACCCTATGAAACCCAATGCCATGCAAGTAGTGACAATAACTATGAGACCACCTACTGAACTGTGTCAAAGCGATTGTATTCTTGTATTTCTGTCGTTATCACTGCTATTCCCTCTGCTAGCAGCGTCAGTCGTCTCTACATCCTCTAGTCGCTGCTTTCACTTGATTGATCTCCCGAGGCTCGATTGTGTTTCGAACATAGATAATTTAGTCCGCTTAGAACAGCCAAACAGGATCTGCACGATACACGTTGTATACTGGAGGAAACTTATGCAGTCTACCGGAACCAACTTCACCAACATAACCTTTGCACCGGGCCGCCCGGATCAAAAGCACCGAACTCGGATGCATGGGTCCTACCGGGGCGGGTCTGATCCGGCCCCCATCGGATCGAACCTTCGGAGACCATGTTTCGAGCCCAAGAGCAACCGTGCCCGACTGGAAACACCGCCTGAAGCACCTGAATTTAGTCACTCGGCACGAATAGTCGCTGTTTTCAGCGGGGTCTATTGAATGTTGCTGTCATCAGCATCACCACATTAGAGATAGAAACTTCACTAATTCGCATCAGCATCAGCTTTCGACGCAGGCCGATCCGCCGATAGCGCATGGACACTGGAAAGACTTGGGCTGTTCGTTTCTGGCGGGACCACAGTCGTTCTTAGTCCTAGCTCGGGATGATAGACAACCCCATGCTAAAGGAGAACATCTGGAATGATTTAGAGAGGGATGTGAGTGATTACTTCTAAAATCATGCCAATCGGCAAGATGGTAGATTGGGCCACGCCTGCATGAATCAACAATGAGCTTGCTCCAAAGATGAATGCTCAAGTCACGCTGCGGCTTCTTTACTTGTTTTACCCAACATCTTGGGCCAACATTGACCTTATGGCTGAACAGCAGCGCAATTGTCTTGGGAGTTTGTACCCAAATGAGTAATAGCGTCATTTGCACGAGGAGCATTGCTTGGTGTAGTGACTCGCGGCCAGCGGAGAAAGGAAACCCCACGTGGTAGTAGCAACATCTACGAAAACCAAGGCCTGGAGGTGGAGAAAGCAGGGCTATATAAAGGAGCTTCGTGGACCTCTACGAGATGAGGTTCAAGAATGTCAGGGCGGTTGGTCCTCATTCACTCGTTTGCGCCACCATGGAGGACGAGATGGAAACCAGAATTCTGCTCGTTTCGAAGATTCATGAAAGTTGCCGACACAGTCCCTCCCATAGGGCACTGAAACGAGCAGGGTTCTGGAGTATGCTCATGATACTTGACATGAGCGTACTGTTCGAACTACTACACGAGCTTCAGACAGCATCCTGGATGGAAAGAAGACGGCTCGTGTGCGGCTTGGTGCCGGTGGCGCAAAGGTTGCCAATGCTAATCAAGATATGCATGACCTCCCTACAGTCCAACTGATTTCCGATGAACGCTGACCAGTTAACAGTTCTTCAACGACCGTATGCGCCAGGATTCCCCGAGTCAAGCAGCGTTGTGATGCGTACTGAACGTCTCCGAAGCCAGGCAGAACGAGCGAAAGTGAAGTTACCCTTTGGTTCTAGTTGTAATGCGGCGTTGCTGACAGCAATCTGACCCAGGCACTCAACCGCGACGAGGGCCGGTGCGTTGTCACGGGAACCTCGGACCCCGATGTTTGCCACATCTTCCCGTTCGCTGACAGCGAGAGCGACCAATACAGACATCATCTGGTTGGCCTATTTCACATGGAGGCGTTTTGGGGCGAGGCTCGCTGCAGGAGACTGAACAAAAGTCTCAGCAGCGGCAGGCTCCCCAACATGATAGATACAGCAGCGAACATGATTTGCTTGGATCGTCAGGTTCATATTAGCTGGGCGCAGGGCTTGCTGGCCTTTGAACCCCTCGAGACACCAGCAACGTGTGGGCCCTGTATTCGCCTTAGGGTTCACTGGCTGGAGAGAACACGAATTCCGTCCATGGAGAGCAGAGTTCCTTTCTCGACGGATCCGCGCACCGTTCTGGTCCCGGAAGACATGCGAATCACGAGATCACGACCAGTCACAGATGGACAAGTAATCACCATATTTGCTGAAAGAAAGGACCAGCTTCCCAATAGAGACGTTCTTGAGCTGCAGTGGGCATTCCTCAGGATGCACGCCTTATCAGGAGCACCAGATGCTGGAATATACCCCTGGCATCCTGAGGAGGCTGACGGCTTCTGGGACACCGATGATGATTAACCATGCATGAACGCACCGGCGAGCTTGACTGTGAGTTTATGGGCAAAGATAAGTACATATAGAAAGAGAGATAGGGAGCTGTCGACGTACGACATGTAAATACGAATAGGTGTACCATAGATAGCCATAGAGATTTCTCTGTGAGCCATCCTGGCCCTCAAATACGTCCCCGTCAGAGTCCTACGGTAGTCAAAAAACCGTGCCCGCAGGCGGTAACCTGCCACAAGAAAGTATGAACGCAACGTGGCGCCTGTATTGACGCCACATAAAGGAAGATGTTTTTCGTGTGGATGAAGAAGGCTTCGGGCGTAGTTCCCGTGATATCGAGACCGCAATGTTAGGCGCTTCCGGGAGTAGCAGTGTATGCAATCCCGATGTATCATACGCGCGGGTGGCTGAGCTTCAGACCACTACAGGCACATACGTTTCGGAAAATAAATACGAGTTTTGTCTTAATCCAAGGGGCCAGCTCGAATTTTCCAACAGATCCATTTCCCAAGGGGCAGTGTTTGCTGCACATTACCTCAGCCGGGCACGCACGTGTCATGGGGTGGTTCTAGATGACTACACTAAAAACAGAAGCAAGAGGGGGCTGGCAACCATGGAGGCTAAGTCGGAATGATTGAGGCAAGGCTCAATTGATCTGTCACATAAGAACAAATGATTGACCCTTCTGGCTGGGGTCGTGATTGCCAAGCTTCTTAATCTCAGGGGCCGCCTTCCAAGACACAAATCAAACTCCTTTCTTCCAACATGCACGACAATATTCCATTGAATAACCTCCAGAACCACCGGCCTTTCGAACCCTGTCGACCTTACACCACGCTCTCCAATCCCAGCGACGTTGGTCGCAGACATAGCAACATGGGGTCCATCAGAGTGGCTATATCCTACGCCTTCGACTGGGCAATTCTCGTTGTCTTTGCAGTCGCGGGATACATTCTAGGGAATCTTACACCGCAAAAGCGCCCTTTCAGTTTAGGAAACCCCGACATCAGCTTTCCTCTCTATGACGACACTGTCTCCATCACGAACGCATTTCTTATTTGCATCGTTGCGCCTATACTTATCATTCTCGTCGTGTCTCTGCTCTTCGTACCAGGCTCGACAGTTCCCCCAGGCACGCCGAAGTCCATCATCTGGAGACGAAAGCTCTGGGAGATCCACGCGGGATGGCTAGGTCTCATCTTCTCCGTAATCGCGACATGGTTCATCGTGAGCACAACCAAGAACCTCCTCGGAAAGCCGCGACCGAACGCCATTGCGCGCTGCCAGCCGGACCTCGAAAATATCGCCCAGTATATCGTTGGTGGCGTGGCGGCAACTACTTCGTCGACGCCGGGACAGCTAGTATCTGCCGATATCTGCAAAAATCCTGACGCTAGTGTCGTCAACGACGGCTTTCGTAGCTTCCCATCTGGACATTCCTCGATTGCGGCGTCGGGTCTCGTCTACCTTAGCTTTTTCCTGGCCAGCAAGTTTGGAGTTACAGCTCCTTGGGCACCTCGAACCGAAGGTTTGACAGAACAGAGCCACTCTGCATTTCCTTCTCGCGTCGTGGGAGACATTGAGATGCAAGGAAGCGACGCGAATTCAGCACCCCGAGAACCCACCAACAACCGACCGATATCTTCCGTCCGAAGACAGGCTGCTGCTCCACCTATCTACCTGGTCCTTCTGACTATGGTCCCCTTCTGCGTATGCATCTTCATCTGTGCTTCCAGATGGTTCGACTTCATGCACCACGGCGTCGACATCTTCGTGGCGTTCGCCATCGGTTCGGTCACATCATACTTCGGTTTCCGCTTCTACCATTTGCCCATCGCACAGGGGGCCGGATGGGCTTGGGGACCACGCAGTGAGGATGCGGCTTTCTGGGCTGGAGTCGGAAGACAGGGATACGGGCATGGAATGGACAAAGGCCGTCACTACTACATGGGCTAAAGGCACGCGACCCGCTGGGAATAACGAAAGGCCCCGAATCTTCTTTACGCCCGCCAATAAACGCGTTTGGATTTCGCAGCAAGCATTACGCGGAGGCTTTGTCTAGCGCAACCAGAGTCATGTATCTTTTGTGGTTTCCGATTCTTCAGAGTCATGTATCAGTAGCAGTAATAGGGAGAATTGTACGAATACGTTGTAGTGTGACAACCAAGACAAGGTGCATGACAACGCCTCAGTGGTTGACGTTGGCGAAGTTCTGCCCATATATGTCGTCCCATGTCGTTCATCCTAACCCAGGTTATTTGAGTCGGAGTCCGTGTGGTAAAGTAGCTCGGAGTTATCAGCCGAGGGGTACGGAGACCGAGGTCATTTGTCATGTCAAACTAGCAGCCGGTCAAGCTTAATCCAACGCAGACTAAAATTAGCTTGAGATGCCTTCTTGATTCTTGAGACGCCGTTTGACGGCGCGGTTAATGGTTTTCCGCGCTATTCTAATCGTGCCACGCCTGAAAAGCCCTCTTCCAGTCCTATGGGCTTACCTGGCGCGAGGACGCTGAACCGTTTCACTGGCACACTAACGAAGATTCTCCCTAGTTGCTTCTACTATGCGCTCTAGTAGTGAAATGGTCGTAGGCCTAGCGGCTGAGAGCTATGCAACGCAGCAGCGCGTATGCGCCCTTAGGCGTATATAGCTACTATAGCTATATAACTCTATAGTTTTAAAGCTTATAATCTTAAAAGAAAAAGGAAAGGACTTCTTATCTACTTTATAGATCTAAAATAAAAAGAATAAGATAAAAAGCTTAAAAGTCTACTAAAAAATAAGTAAATTCTCCTCTTAATTTATTAGGATTTATAATAATATCTAAGCTAACTTCTTACCTCTTAAAGGGGGCTAGTAATCTAACCTCTAAATACTAAAAATACTAAAAAATCTAATAAACTTATTAAACCTTATTCTAATTATCCTTAATTATCTTCCCTCTAGCTTTTTAGATTAGAAGATAATTCCCTATATACTTATATATATATAAAAGTATTATATTTATTAATAGAACTTATAGTAAGTATTTTTATAATCTTAAGCTTTTTCTATTTCTCCTATATAAGTAGTATTTTATTTAAGTTTTAGTTTATAGTATACCTATTCTTATTATCCTCTTAATTTTAAAAATCTATAAGTATAAGTCTTAAGTAATATATAAACTTCTATTTAAGTTTAAAGGTTAATATACTAGTTAATATATATTATTTAATTAATTATTATTAACTTTAGAATAAACTACTTAAGAGGATAAGTAGGATAGTTACTTATAGTTATAAAGCTTTAAGTAGGAGTTAAAGATTTATATAATAATAGGATAAGACTTTTATAATTAAGAGTTATAAATATAGACTTATTATAATTATTATATCCCTCTAGGATTAGAAAGCTAGAAGTTAAGCTTTCTAATAGGGATAAAATAGTAACTAGAAATTAAATTAATATTATAAGTACTTAAGGTGAGTTTACTAATAGGGGTAGATTATAAGGTTACTCTAGGGATAGCTATATAGTTCCTTTTTTAGCTATCTTACTTAAATAAGCTACTACTATCTATATTATAAGATAGAGTAAGAGGTTTTTATAAATTAAATTATATTTATAAAACTTAGTAATAATCTATAATTTATATTTACTAATTAGAGGTAAAGAGCCTTAGTAATAGAAGCTCTTATTAATAGTAATATTATTACTAAAGTAAGTATTAAAGAGTCTTTTTATAATAAAGTAGTAAACCTAATTAATATAGTAAACTCTATAGCTATAACTATTAAGCTATTATACTAAATTAACTATTTAAGTATATTATAGTAGGATAGTAATAAGTTCTTTAGGCGTTTTAAGTAGCTTATATTAAGTAGTAAGAGCTTTAATAGTATTAATAAACTCCTAATTACTCTACTAGTTAAAGTTTAAGTTTATAAAGTAGCTTTTCTTATTAATTTAGTTTACTACTAAGTAGATAAAATAGTTTTACTTAACTTATAAGAAATATATAACTATATTAGAATTCTATAAGTTATCTTTATACTTATTTATAAAGAGGTTTATATTAATAGCCCCCTCTTCTTCTTAATTAGTATCTTATAATATAGTATTTAGTAAGTAAATCTAAACCTTATAATAAATATCTCTTATAATAAAACATACTAGTATAGTAAGATATTTAATTTAGAGGAAGTCTTTTATATAGAGGATACTTTAGGTATTATATAGATTAACTAGCGTTTTAAACGATATAATAAGGTTTTAGCTAGCCTATTTTCTAAAATTATTAAAGTTAGTAGTAAATTAGGTTTATAAAGAACTCTTTAAGCTAGGATTTAAGTTATTATAATACTTTATAGTTTAATAAGATCTAACCTCTTTAAACTATAGAGCTTTAGTAAAACTATAAGGATATATAAGCCTACTTTAAGTAGTTCTAAAGATAAATTAGGTTTATAAAGGGGTACTTTTAGTAAGGTAAAGTAATTAGTATACTATCCTTATTCTTTTAAACTACTATAAAAAGTACTTTATATAGGAAATAGCTATATCCTATCCTCTTATTACTTTAAGTTTAGTAATAACTACCTCTTTTATATCTTAAACCTAGATAGTATAGTTACTTCTAGGGGGTCTATTTACTAATATAAACCTACTATTAAGTACTAGTAGAATTAGTTATTTCTTACTTAATAGGTTTAAGGGTTTCCCTTTACTATTATATTTTAAGTATTTATTATATAGTCTCTTATACCTTATAATAGTATCTAAAGTAGGTAGATTAATTAGTTCTTATAATAGCTTTAGCTTATTTATAAGCTATTAAAGCTTAAATCTCTTATACTTAAAACTTTATAGGACTTTATTAAATTTAACTATAATATATTAGATTTAATCTATTAATATATCTTAAACTACTCTATTTAGATTACTAAGGTTACTAAAGTTATTAAAGTACCTAAAGTAGTTAAGTATAATTATTTTAGAACACTAAATAGAGCTAACTTATAAGATATCTAAAATA